GATTTAGAATGTCTGCTATGAATAAAGACAGAGAGATAGGTAGATGTATTAAATAAGTTGTCTTGCAACCATAAAGTTGAATTCTACAGCTTTACAATTTATAGAAAAACTACTATTATCATGGCAACAATTCTATAACAGTTAAATATGTATACACTAACAAACACTAATTTACTTTAGTTTATAGGTTTTCTCCTGTAGTAACATTGGATCAATAAGAGATGACCCTTACTGGACCTCTAGGAAGAACAGTTTAGAAGTGATCGAGCTATCCAGTATAAATAAAGTTAGTTCAGTTTATAGTAACTGTATTATAAGTGCATTTATTTTTCTCTTCATAGACGCAGCAGACTGGAGAAACATATCTGAGTGCGATCTCCCAGCCTGTCGTGCTATGCCGTGTAAAAATGCAGGTTTCTGTGTCCAAAATAATGAAGATATCAGTGACTATACATGCCAGTGCTCGTATCCGTTTTCTGGTAAGAACTGCGAAGAGAAGTACGCATGTGCAGTGAATATATGTAATGGTGGAAAATGTTTCAACACGAGTGTGTCAGGAGTTGAATGTTTGTGTTCGTTTGGGAGAAGTGGCGTCTCCTGTAACCAAGGTAACATTTTGTACTAAATAACATTGTTGTAACATTGTTTCTCACTCTGGGGTCAGTTGTTCAAAGCTGGGACAGCTTAACCCTAGGTTAACCTAAGATTCAAAGCAAACTTTCCTACAGCTTGTTTATAAATTTGGAAATATATCTTCAGAGATCTTGTTTGAATCAACAGAAGTTTTCTTCTCTGAAGTTTTGAAATAAACAGACGTGCAGAAATACACAAACAGGGGTCGGTTGTTCAATTGTGGGTTAGCTCTGGGTTAAAATTTAATTTGCTGTTTTAGTTCATGTATTTCTGTACGTCTGTTTATTCCAAAACTTCACAGACGATAACTCCTATCGATCCAGACAAGATCTCTGAAGAAATATCTCCAAATTTATAAACAAGCTGTCAGGAAGTTTTCTTTGAATATTAGGCTAACCCAGGGTTAAGCTAACCCAGCTTTGAACAACTGGCCCCAGCGGGTTAAATTTTAACCAGGGTTAACGCTAATCCAGCTTCGATAAACCGACCCCTGATGAGTACAGATTTACCACTATTCGGGATAACCTAAGGTGAAGTTATAGCAATATTAATTGTGACAAATTTTTAAACTTTATTTTTCAGATATTGAAGTGACCATTCCCATATTCAGTGTCGTCAAGAACCACTCCTCGTATCTGCAGTATCTCTCCCCCCGTGGTGCTGTTAACCAACTTGATATTCGCATGGAAATCAACTTCATGAACAACACTAGATCCAGGGGGGTTGGACTGCTGTTCTATGTTGGTTTACACGATCATCTGTCTGTTGGCAGTGATGGGGACTATCTGGCGTTGGGTGTGGTCAATAACCGTATGGTGCTACAGTTTAATCTGGGGTCTGGTGCTGCTAATCTGACTAGTGACCCTCTAAGTTCTGATCAAGAGTGGTTTACAATTCTCGCTGGAAGGAAGGGGAGAGACGGGTATTTATATGTAGACAATCAAGTCAAAGAAGCAAGCTCCCCTCCCCCCTTGGAAGGGTTGAATGTGTTTGGACATCTTTACATCGGGGGTGTCCCCGAGTTTTCAATGCTTAACAGTGAGGTAAGAATTCTGGTCTATCTTGAAGCCGTGTCCTCGACATAACTACATTAACTTGCATTTTTTCTACAGTGTTTATTTTTTGTGTATTTACAAACATATGGTTTGTTGTCCATGCAGATATCGTTTTATTTCGTAGAAAATGTTTCTCTTCCTTTCAGTGACCATCATCATCACCAACACCATCATCACCATTACCATCATCATCACCAATATCATCACCATCATCATCACCAATATCATCATCATCATCATCACCAATATCATCACCATCATCATCATCATCATCATCATCATCACCACTATCATCATCATCATCACCACCAATATCATCACCATCATCATCATCATCACCACTATCATCATCATCATCATCATCACCACCAATATCATCATCATCATCACCAACACCATCATCATCATCATCATCATCATCACCACCAATATCATCATCATCATCACCACCAATATCATCATCATCATCATCACCAATATCATCATCACCACCAACATCATCACCATTATCATCATCACCACCATCAATATCACTTTTCTCAAAATATCTTTGATACTTGTTGTAGGTGATATTCACTGAGGGATTCAGAGGGTCGATAAAAGACCCTAAACTACGAACAGGGGCTTCAAACGCGTGGGTATCTCTCAGTACGGAGCATTCGACCAACACCACAAATTTTGCCCCCGTAATTAGTGGACTCAACATTCAAGACCAAAAAGTCAACGCATGTGTAGTCGGTGCATGTTTGAATAACGGTTCGTGTGAGTCGCTTGGAGCTTCGTACGTTTGTCGGTGTCGGCCGGAATGGTCCGGGATGACGTGTAATGATACATCGGTACCTTGCCGGGATTACAATCCATGTTACGGTCGCTCCACATGTCGTATGCGTGATTCTGGATTTAGGTGCGATTGCCCTCCTGGGAAGGCGGGAAGATATTGTGAAAATGGTAGGTGGGGGAAAAGATAGAGTCGCTTAATTACTTGTAAGGGACGGGGGAGGGGGGTCGTAGCAGATTTAACAGCAAAGGAGGGATAAAGTTATATAGTTTAGGTTTCCTCCTGTAGTAACACTGGATCAATAAGAGATGATCCTTACTGGACCTCTAAGAAGAACAGTTTAGAACTGATAGAGCTATCCAGTATAAATAAAGTTAGTTTAGGTTTCCTCCTGTCGTTTCTGCGAGTATTCCAAACTTAAATCCTGATCCTAGTTACATTTTTATTTCGTTTCAGACCTCAACATTACCACGCCATCTTTCGGAGAGTACTCCTACCTAAGTTTCTCATTAGCTAAGATCAAGATTCATTCCCAGACCTCCATCACCGTCGCGTTCTCCACACCAGCAGTGAATGGCATTTTGTTTTATGTCACTCGTGATATCACGTCACTATCCGGAGACTTTCTGTCAATCACTTTACACGATAGGTAAGGCATTTCATCATTGAACATAATAACCATAGTGATCAGATCCCTGTGATCAGAATGTTCCATTGTCTTTTCATTGTTTTGAAAACCCCACTGTTCTCCATGCCATCCAATCATGATCCAGCCATAGTGATCAGATCCCTCTGATCAGAATGTTCCATTGTCTTTTCATTGTTTTGAAAACCCCACTGTTCTCCATGCCATCCAATCATGATCCAGTGATCAGAATGTTCCACCGATTTCCAGTTCAATTTCAATTCAGTTTGAAATTCAATTTGAGTTTGAAACTAATAGAGCTATCTAGTATAAATAAAGTTGGTTTAGTTTTCAGTTTCATTCTTAAAATAGTTTAATATTTTCTAGACATGTCTACCTTATCTACAATCTTGGAACAGGGATAGCAAGGTGCAGAAGTCAAAATGAAATCCTACTAAATCAAAATAACAGCATCACAGTAACTAGGGATGGGAAGAGATCAAAGCTAGAGTTAAATGGAAGTGAAACAACGTGCAGAAGTCGTGGTGGGGCAACACAGCTTAATGTCGCGTCAGTATTTTATCTAGGAGGAGTTCCTGACCTCTCGCAGGTGCAACCCATGGCATACGAAAATGCACGGGACCTAAGGGACTTTACGGGTTGTGTGGAGCAGCTAACGGTATGTGAAAATATCAAGCGTGATTTGTTCCCTGAATCATTGGCAGTATAGATCACATTTAGTTCGTCTTGTGATTACTCATAATAAACTAATCATTTCTTTTAATAGATAAATGGCCATTCTTTTGATTTGACTCAACGGGGAGTTTTGGATGGTCGCAATATTATGAACTGTGATACAAACCAGCTTCAAGTATAGTTAAACAAACTACAAGATTGCATGTCTCAAAATGACGTATGATTATAGTTTATATACAAGATTGAATTGAAAAGCATATTTAACTGTTGAATTTGATAGTGTCTAAAATATAATTAACTGAAAAGCATTTAGAAATGAACTGCATGAAACGTTTATTAGCATACAGTCAGAAATTTGCTAGAAATATTTTGTAGTTTTATTTCAGATGGGATTTTGATATATTTATTTTCTATATTTTATACTAACATTTTGTATATCATTCTTTATATAATTGTAAATTGATATCATGCTATTTTATATTATATTTTAATTTTATGATATATTATTGACGTATGATATATTTGTTGGTATAGAATGAAATTGCTGAAATACTTTAACGATTAAAAATGGCGTATTTTTTATTGAAAAGATCTATCTAAGTGGAAGAAGGTTATTTTGCTGGCCTCAGAGTGACAAAACGAAACAAAGCAACGGTTTTACTAACACTAACGCTATTCCAAACAGCAACTCTAACCTAACCCTAACTCTGATCGAAACGAAACAATTTTTTCCATTACCCAGAATACATTGCAATTAAGAATAGCGTAATTTTTGGTGAGAAGATCTATTTAGACATACGACACTATATTTTATGGGACATGAAGTATCGTAGTTGTATAACCACTGCCTGTTAAGAAAGGGCTCAATATCCTCAAATGTAATTTGATATCTAAAAATGGCAATAGTAATTTTATAAGTGGGTTTTAAATTTGAACGTGAAAGGTTTTTACTCAGATTTTTAAAAGATTTAAATATGCATTTCGCTATTCTTGACATAGACGAGAAATCTGACGAACATGGCAGCTATATCGTAAGTAATGTTGACCACAGAGTTCGCTTCAAATATCCTTCAATTAATAGACAATTAGCGAAATTTTTCTCGCGTGTAATTTGTGTTGTGTATAGTAAAACTGTCGTGTTGTTTTTAAACAGTTCTTTGTTGTGATGATGTTATATTGTAGCTTTATAGTATATGTATCATTAATGTTGAGTGGTTAATATGTTTTAATGCTCATTATCTCAAATGTTTGGTCAATATTATTGACATATTTGTCGTGTCAAAATTATATTTATTGGACGTTTCGCAATGTCGTAATGACATAATTATGGCATTCACATCCTGCCTAAACCATAAAAGTTGTGCAATTCTAAAACGTTTTCTTCCCTTTGTGTCAATGAATCATTTGACATATGAAATGTTGCTTAAAAGTTTAGTCCATATATGAATTACATAACTAGATCTTAGTACTGTATATACTATAGCACTTTTCATGTATTCCCAACCATTATCAATATAATCAACAACTCCACCATCTTCATGATAACCATGACCATCGTGAAAGCTGTCATTTATATCATTGATGCCATCACCAATACCATGACGGCACCAATGCACTGGTCATCATCATCACCTCCCTCACCATCAATACCATCATCACCACCACCATCATCATCACCACCACCACCACCATCATCACCACCACCATCATCACCATCATCACCCTCATCATCACCACCATCATGATCACCATCATCACCACCATCATCATCACCACCATCATCACCATCATGATCACCATCATCACCATCATCATCATCACCATCATCATCATCACCATCATCATCATTACCATCATCATCATCACCATCATCATCACCATCATCATCATCATCATCACCACCATCATCATCACCACCATCATCATCACCACCATCATCACCACCATCATCATCATCACCACCATCATGATCATCACCACCATCATCACCATCATCATCATCACCACCACCATCATCATCATCATCATCATCATCACCATCATGATCATCATCACCATCATGATCATTATGATCATCATCACCATCATCATCATCACCACCACCATCATCATCATCATCATCATCATCACCATCATGATCATCATCACCATCATCATCATCACCACCATCATCATCATCATCATCATCATCACCATCATCACC